ATGCCATTTCCAGGCCTCGCACCCACCTGGTCCGCCAGCGAGCGATCGATCACAGCTTCTCTCCACGTGTGCCTACCGCAGGATGACTTGCTGCCTCTTGAGCTCCGGGACAACAGACAGACTCTGCTAAGGCGCTCGCGACTGGCTGCGGGCTTGTTTCCTCTACCAACAAATTCTGTAGCTCTGGCCCCCTGAGAGACTAGTTTTCAGGCTAGTGCTGCATGGCGAGACACCCACCCTAGCATCCTAGCACCCCACCCGCAGCCGTCTGGGGATCATCAGGTGTAAGCCCTTCCTGTCTCGTTTGCGTGCGACCTACCTCGAGGCCCGCCCAAGCGTTGATCGTGGTCACGTGACCCGCCGTGGGCCCACGTGACCGCGCAGCCAGCTTGTGTGACTGAGCCTTGCAGCATCCGGGGCAGGAACTTCGGCTCGGGCTGCTGAGCTGCTTGCAGAACCTGCAGCTCCTGAGCGTGGTGAAGACAGGGAGCTGAAGGGAGGCGGGATTGCTAGCCCAGGCTTCCGGCCCGAGGCCTGGCCTTTGCCCCCTAGGAGCCCAGCACTGGCAGGGACCGTTGGGTGAGGGGTTTGGAGACGAACTGCCTTCAATCTTCTGTCTAAAACTCGGGGTGACGTTAAAACACACAGGACCTGTCCTGAAAAATCTTGATATGCAAAAGAAACGCTGAAACTCCCAAATGTCCACCCCTGGGATGATCCCTGTTAATGCTTGTGGTTTGTGAAGGGAGGCAAAACTGCTACTTTGTCTGAGTTCCATAAACCCTGCACACGAGAATGGGGGAAACAAAGTATGCTGCATGGCCAGAAACGTTACACAAAACTTGGGTAAGGACAGCACACGTTACTGGATATTATTTCAGTGCAGTGCTCGGCTTCACTTTCTATTGACCCAGTACATTTTCTACCTGAGAGGCTGGTGTTAACTGGTAGCTATTTCGTCCAATAGATACTGGAAGCGACTTGTGTCCAGTGGAACAGATAACCTCAATGGTTACAACTGAGTGCCCTTAAGATATTAACCAGTTTTGTATTTAACCCAACGATGTTATCCTAACATTTGTCAATCTTCGA